GAAATTTACAACATGAGCATAGGTACGTCGAGCGAAATAATCCAAACAAGGAAACCCTCATGTATATACCTTGTATCTCAAATTGTAAATCCCTAAACACTAAACCCGAGGTTCTAGTACAGGAAACAATAATAAAAGAAATACAACTAATCTCAGAGCATAAATACAGTGCCATGTCATAGCTTACATGAGTATCATGTTATAACTTACATGTATGTCATGTTATAATCTACATAAGTATCATGTCATAAACTCCTGTGAGAAAGTCATATACAGGGTTAAGAAATATGTCCGATACAGGAACTAAATACTGTGGTTTCCAAACACATGGAATAAGTGGCAAATGTCCAACACGAGGACTGAAATAGATTATAGTCCAACACGAGGACTTATATGGATTATAGTCCAACACGAGGACTGTGTAACTGTGAAAAGTATATGCGGACAGAAATACATAATCTAAACTCACCCGCATCTCGGTGTACATGTCTAAACTTATGTCAAAAGTCATCCCACATGTACAGATAAATCATTAACATGGTAAACTAGGGTCAGGTTATCGAGGCGACCCCCGAAAAACAACTCAAACAGATCAAAAATCTGTAAAACAGCTCATCAGTCGACTGATGTGTTGACTGATGACGTCGGTCGACTTATATGTCGACTGATAAGGTTCAGGCAGCACAGCCTCAGCTCACCAGTCGACTGATCAGTCGACTAAGAAGCTGAGAAAACAAAATCAGCCCGTCAGTCGACTGATCAGTCGACTGATGACTGAAAATTTGCCCGTCGGTCGACTGATCAGTCGACCGATAGAATAAAACATTGATGATCTTTTTCTAAACTGAGAAACTCAATACTTCACATCATATACCATAAAGATTTATTCTTTGTACTAAAAATACGTTTTTGGCTCAATAAAAACTCATTAAACTCAATAAATTTGTGTAAAACAAAAGGGGCAGAGTTGGGCGAGATGTTACTCGCCTCTGGGTGATGAACAACTCCTGGATCTGAGAGAGAGTGGATCCCCTTTGCTGCAATGTGAAGATTTCGCCGAAAATCCTCCAAGTTCTCCCCCAAATCACCAAGAACAAAACTAGGGTTTAAGATAGGGGAGAGGGGGCTAGGGTTTTCTCAGGTCTGAAGGTGAGAGGGGTGATTTCGGGTGAGAGGGGATATATACGAACAGTTAAACCCGACCTAAACCCGAACCAAATCAAAACAGACCCGAAACCTGAAAAACTGGAAATCAGCGTATCAGCCGACTGATGTGTCGACCGATACAGTCAGTCGACTGATGTGTCGACTGATCTGGAAAAATTTAGTTTTTGTGCATGTTTTACTTATTTGCAAAACCAACGCACAAAACTCTACACCCATACTCTCATATCATCTCGAATAACTTATCATCATGTATATCAATGACCTCAAGCTATTTATCATAAAAGAATTATTTATTTACTAATAAATCACATATATTCATATAAAAATTTACGGGGTTCTACACCAGCTTAGGAGATTCCTTTTATTTGGAAACTTAATTAAGATTAATTTAGAAAGTCATCAACTAATAGTTCTATGGGGCTAAAATGTTGGAGTTAAATTCACCACCTTATGGTTGATAACTCATGTGAGATTATATGAGGTACTTTGTCTTTTTCCAAATCTGTTAATCTCTTATTATTTTGAATCTCTAATGAAATGATAGAAAAAGATTGCTAATTTTACCTATCAGAACACTTGTGAAAAGCCAGCATAATCGCATAACTTTGTCCTTTTGAGTAGTTGATACAAACTCAGGTTATGAAATTGATGGATTTTGTAAGTTTTTCATTTTGAAATCAATTTATTAGATCAAATACTTTAACCCCTATTTCTTTCAAACATGTTAATTTTAGGTTATCAATACTTTGGATCCAACATAAACGCGACATGTTATGAAGAATCAATGAACCATAAACAAATTTTATGGATGAATGATAAATGATTGAAAAGGTTTAAATTTGTGTTACACCTATTTTGATCATAAGTTTTGTTTCTTGTTCCACTTTGTAAATTCTTAAGTTTGTATGGGTAATTAAAACCTTATCGACTTAGTTAAATTCTTCATATCTTTGCCTTTTAGACTCTTTATTATTATTTTTGCAAATATAATCAAAATCCTATTTAAAGCATTGACTAATAATTTTAGGTTTAACACGGTGTGAGATGACACATAAGTGAACTTTCAATCCAAATGGTTTTATTCTATAGGAAGGTTTATGACAATAATCATCCGTGCTTGGGGATAGATCAAAGGTAAATATAGTACATTTTCTTATAGGAAGGTTTATGACAATAATCATCCGTGCTTGGGGATAGATCAAAGGTAAATATAGTACATTTTCTGCTCAAACTTAACAATTTCTTTAAACACCGTGCTTGGGGATAGATCAAAGGTAAATATAGTACATTTTCTGCTCAAACTTAACAATTTCTTTAAACATTTTTTTATAATTTTTTTACTTCATTTTATTCTTAGGATACACATTTTCTCACCAATTTTATGATCTTTAAAAAAAATGTATAATGATCTACAATGATTTTATGGATAAAACTTAATCAATTTAATAGTAGCGTCAACTCTAAGGAATGTGTGTACCTACAAGGTGTGTTTTCCTTGATGATATTTTTCTTACTTAATGTGGCTGATTCTTTAGTATACACTCTACGCTATGATCAAGTTATACAAATGAATAAACAAGAGATAGTTATCATGTATATGGATTTATGAATACATCATGCTTTGAATGAATTCGAGTTTGTTTATATTTTAATCCTTACTAAAGTTCTACTAAATATAAGTTTGGGTTAGTTTTTTCAATCCTGGATCTATTTTGGTTTGATTTCTTGAGCATATGATTTCATTAGGTATATTGCACTTACTGTTGAATTTAAGAAACATTACTTACTGCTTGTTCTAAATTAGATTGCCGAAAAATTATTGCCTATGTCTCTTTTTTTAATCCTTACTAAAGTTCTGCTAAATATAAGTTTGGGTTAGTTTTTTTAATCCTGGATCTATTTTGGTTTGATTTCTTGAGCATATGATTTCATTAGGTATATTGCACCTACTATTGAATTTAAGAAACATTACTTACTGCTTGTTCTAAATTGGATTGACGAAAAATTATTGTCTATGTCTCTTTTTTTATTTCTCTCTAACATCACTTAAGTTGGAATAAATAAGGATAAATTCAAAGCAATTTACAAGGATGAATCTAAAACATTTTTGTACCATCCTAATAAATGCTCTTTCTATTTTCAACTATGGATGCTTTTCATAGAAAAAATGTATTTTCCATTGATTTCCATTATACAAGGATCAAATCTAAAGCAAGAGTTACTGAAGCTACTGCGTTTGCATCTAAGGCCAATGTCAAAATCAAGACAACTTTAACTTGTGGACTTCAAACATACAGATGTGTATATGATTCAAACAAAATGTGTAAACTGCAATATGACATGTTCTTGAATTCTTGGAGATAGCTAATTGTCTTGGAGTCCCTTCCACCATATGAAAACTTCAAAATTATAAGGAGTGTTAAGAATTTTCATACTAAAATTCTCTCATATGCCAGGCTTTCTTTCACTGGATTGAACCTGAGGTATTTGATGCAGTGGTACATCTTTTATAAATTCATTTTAAATGCATGCTTGGTATTTTTTAAATATAACTTGCTCAGTTGCAGTGAGAGTTGGGAGTTCTAATTTCATATTCTTATAAAAATGTTATGTTAATATATGCAGGATGTTGGGCTGTTGAGATCAAGGAGGCACCCAAGTGTGAGAATGATCAGCATTAGCTGACAACGGCTTCCTTTTCTTATTTATAACCCCTTCAAGTGTTTGTTTTCTTTCTTTTTATAGGATGGTGAAGTGATGAATGGATATTGCTTGCATTCTGCTACACATTATGATTTGTTTAGGGGTTTCAAATTACGCGTTGTCATTAATTTGGCATATGAAGCTTCAACTTTCTTTGTTATTTTGAATCCTAACACCTTCACTTTTATCTTTGTTTTCCAAAGTTTTCTCTTATTTTAATCATTCTCTCCTCTATTTTATCAATAGACCTGCAATTATGTTTGCTTTTAACAAGAATATCTAAATGATGATGTAATTGATGTCATTACTGTCCTTCTTACTTTTGCGATTTATTTGATTTAAACGTGTTTAGTAGATATTATTTAGAAATATATATTATTAGTATTTGTTTTATATGAACTATATGTTCAATAAATAATCTTAAAAATGGTGCGCAAAATATGATTTGACATTTAAATGCCTCACCTTTTATAGTTTCTTAACATGCATCACGTGCGACGCGCGTATCGCATACTAGTATGAGCAAGAGCAAACAACCAGTCAACCTATTGGTCATATTTGGTGGATCCAACGGCGGAAAATGTATTCGTAAAAAAAAACAACGGCTAATTCCATCTCACGCGCTGGCGGCTTATAGTTTCTTAACATGCATCACGTGCGACGCGCGTATCGCATACTAGTATGAGCAAGAGCAAACAACCAGTCAACCTATTGGTCATATTTGGTGGATCCAACGGCGGAAAATGTATTCGTAAAAAAAAACAACGGCTAATTCCATCTCACGCGCTCGCTGGCGGCGGTTCAAGCGGACCATTCAAGATCCCAAACACCATCTTTCAGCAATCTAGACCGTCCATCAAGAAGTCGTATATTAAATTAACGGATGCGATTTTAATATCTAAACTGTTGAGACGTGACTTGGCTCTCCTCTGCATTACTCTATACGTTTCCTAAAGCACCCTCGGAAATTCTACGTACTCTGTTTGTTCTTATTCAGTTAATATATAAAACGCTGTGTTATTTTAACGATATGGAAGGGTATAAATGTAATTTCCTATGACTTTGAGACCCGAGATAGAAGCCGGTTTAAAAGATGCCGGCCGTCAATCGCATCTTTCGGACCACGAATTTAATAAAAAAATAAACAAAAATAGAAGTCCCGATCCATTTCTTTTGCCCCTTTTCGTCGCCCCCCGCCAAATCCACCCGATTTCGATCTAGATTCACCTTCGATTCTTCTTCAAATCCTCAAATTGATTCCGAATTCGATCGGATCTCTGTGTCTCCTCTCGATTGCTACCAGTTTCTTTCTCTATTGACGGCCTGATTCGGTTCTAGGGTTAGGGTTTCCAGCGTGTTGGGGTTTTTTTGTTTTATCATTGGTTTGATCGGATCGGTGAATCTTTTATCCTTAATAGATAGTTTAGGTCGTATGGTGACCCCCCGCCCTCTCGTTTGACCCCCGATTTTTATACCGGTTGTACTCGAGTCGGATCTAGGTCGGGGCTTCCAGAATCTGTTCGATTCTGGATTTTTTTTCTTTTCCATTTCTGTGATCTGCGTCTTGAATTTGCGTTTCAATTTGAGCTCAAATTATCTGTCATATTGGGGTTGTTATTTTGATTGATTATTTCTTAATTGTTTTTTATTTTAGATTTCCTAAGTACAAAATTTGAATCCATTGTCCACCTTTTTCGTGTGCTTGAGGATTGTAGCACTTTCACAACTTGTAGTTGTTTTTATTTGCCTCTCACTACCGCTATTACTTCATTAGAGGCGGGCCCTCATTAACTTTCTTGAGGTAATTCTTAGCTCCAAAATTCTTCTCTAGTTATATCTCTGTTAATGCCATTGTACTTGCTATTATTATGTTTTATTTATTGCTGGTGAAGTGTTTTTTTTTCAGCTTATGTGTCTGCCTTATGTTGGCCTTAAGCATCACGGCAATCAATCACCATTGCTAGTCCTTTTTTTACCGTTTCGAAATGAATTGTGCAACTTCATGGAGACTATTCACTAGCAGGAAGTGGAAGAGACCTGTTCTATAGAGAGTGATAATTTGTTTTTTTAATCTTCATTTTATCATTATATGCCGAGTTCTAGAGTTATTTACAAATCTCTATAGCTCATTGCATGGTGTTATATGGAGGATTGCGGATGTTGGCTCTTCTCAATTGGAAATCCACCTTACCTTCCAAGGTTCCTTATAGTCAAAGTGGCTTGAAGTCCTCACCCTTAATTGCTTGCTTAAATCATCTTTTACCGCATGGTTTTTAGAAGTACAAGTTTACAATTTTTATCTTGTGTTATCATGGGCTGGGAAAAATATTATGATGTGTCAGGTGGTAACGTCCTTTTGGTCCACGTCAGATTTAAGAAAGGCACTCGAAACTGTTACCTATCTAATCCTGTAGTTTAAGGGTTATCTTAGCTACCTTTTGCCATTTGCATTGCCTTTGTGCAACTAGTGAGATCCATTAATAACTTGGTTATCTCAGATGTTCTTTTTTCAATTGTAATGCTTATTTATTTTTAGGGGTTTTGTGATATTAGTCCCTCAAATCTCGCTTATGTTGATATTAGTCCCTCAAATCATAGAAATTTGAAATTAGTCCCCCTAGCACTTTAAGTATGTAGAAATAAGTCCCTCTATTACATATTCTGTCTAAAACGCTAACCATGGTTGGGTTAATAGTAAATTATGGTTGGGTAATTACAAAGTTACCCTCTAGGGTTGCTTAACTTACTAAATCACTCCTTCACGCAAAAATCCTTTTCATGCGGGATTGATCGGAGGTCCATGGAGAGCCTATGAAGGTTCTGAGGATTGCAGAGAGGGATTCTCATTGGTGCTTTGGGAGGAGTTGATGGAAATCGAGGTCGACATTTGAGAGTTCGAAATAGATTGATTTGAGATTAAATGTTTGGGGTTGGATTCTGGAGGTGCAGTAAAGAGGTTTTTGGAATTGGGGAGGTAAACCTAATCCTCACTCTAGCCCTAATTTGGGATGATAATGAGGGAGGATTGTGTAGAATTGAGGTTGGAGAGAGAAAAAATGACGGAGCTTGGAGAGAGCTTCGGGGCGGAGGAGAGAGAGGAGGCTGTTGATGTAGGAAAGGGATCTGCATGGAGGAGCTGCAGCCATTAGTGTGGGTTTGGACAGAGAAGAGGGTAGGGGAGGGGGATGATTGAACTAAACCCAAGGGAAGGGAAAGGAGAGGGAGTGATGTAACTAATCGTGTTTGGATAGACAACTAGGGAATGTATAGGGAGGGAGTGTGATTGATCTAATTTGTGTTTGTTTAGAGTTGAAAATAGGAAGAGAAGGGACCAAATTTCTTAAAATCCAACCCCTCCCTTCCCAATCCGCGCATTTTAGGAGGTTTAAGAAGGTGAAGAAATTTGCTCTTTTTAACCCTCCCAATCCTTCCCCTCACTAGAAAATGTAAACAACCACAAATTTATGATGGTTGCCATTGTATACTTACCAACCCTCCCCTCCCCTCTTAAAAAAAGCTATCCAATTAGAGAGAATAGCCACATGGGTTTAGGTCAAGTGATAGCTGTTGGGGAAGAAGACCAGCTAATGGGTTTTGTTTTGGGCTTTCCTAAACGGGTAGGAGGTTGTTTTAATGGGTTTGGATTTGGGTTTGTAAGGTTAATAGTGGGATTGTTGCCAATGTTACATTACACGCTAGGCGCTTCTAGGCGTCGGACTTGGCGCCCAGCGCTTAGTCGTCTAGACAGATGCCTAAGCGGTTTCTGAGCGTTTTTTTTTCTTTCTTCATTTAAGTGGTGGTCGATGAGGTTTTGCTGAAGGTCGGAGGAGGTAGTGAAGGTGTTCATATTTGGAGGTTAATGGAGTTTGGAGGACGTGTAGGCTACGACACATAAAATCATAATTAAGGCCTACAGGGTGCAATCCACGTAAGCAGATAATGCTCCCCTAAACGCTGGTAAAATCTAGGTGGACAACCTAAATACCGCCTAGGCGCTAGGCGTTAGTTAGGCGGCCTAGGTACCGTCTAGGCCTAGGCGTACGTCTAAGCGGACTAGGCGGAGGTTTTTTAAAACAGTGATTGTTGCATCTAAACTTTTAAAATAGACGGAATATTCCCTCAGTTTTAACTAGAAGGTAACTACTAGGACTTATTCCAACATACTTGAAGGATTAGGGGGTCTATTTTCAAATTTCTATAATTTGGGGGACTAATATCAAAATAAGCAAGACTTGGGGGACTAAAATAAAAAAAACCCTTATTTTAACTGGAAAGTTTAATAATATTGGCACCCAACTTGTTTATATTGGGCGTTAAGCAATTATACCTGACTCAATTAGGCGAACCTCATGGGTTCATATTATACATAGAGATGAGAATACCTAGATCTCATAGCAGCTTCCAATAGATATTATGTATTTATATGAGAATGCATATAGCTCAAAAGAGTTCTGATTCGAGATTATAGAGATATTACTTTCAAACAATTTCTCAAAGCCAGCTAAAAATGGATGGGATGCATCTTATTAGCTTTTAAACATATTTACTCGCCTAAAATAGATATTAGTCTTTGATTGAAATCTCTACCGCCTGTTTACTAGGATAGCGTACGATGTTGATGTTTTTATTGTTATGGACAGCTTACCTCATCCTATTAATCTTTGACTACATTGATTATTTGAAATTTTGGCATCCTCTTGCCACATCTGCTAACATCCTTCTTTATGTGGTGCAATGGGAGATCATTATTACAGTTATTTTGACTCTTGTATAAGTGTTTATTGGCACTGAAGTCATATACTTCCTATTTATTTAATTGCTGAATGCAATGCTTACTATTCTTACCTCTGCAAATATAGTATTCAAGATGATAACTGATGAGAATCATCTAATTAGTTGCATTAAATTTCTTCACTTGTCAGAAATCAAAAATGGTGTTTAAGCATAACAAGCTGCCATTTGACCATGATGATTCCCTCCAGCTTTCGTTTCAGCACATGACGGAACTAGATTATGGTGATCAATTTGCATCTTCTGTTCATAGATATATTCCTGAGAAGCAACAATTTGCAGGTAAAACAGAACATGTAAACTGCATATAGTACATAGTATGTCAACTCATAATTTTTCTTGACATATTCTTGATGTGATTCAAAGATGGAGTTAGCACCAGAGGCAACTTCAAGTTGCAAAATGTGGATGCTGTTAATTCCGATGGTAATTATGGATTTACGAATGACAAAACATCCAGCTTGCCGGAGGTAATGCGCAGTGACGATGAAACAGCTAGACTGGAGAGTAGCAAACGACCTTTTGATGATGATGAAAACCTCGTAGTTGCAGTTAAGCGCACAAGGCAACTGGATGGAAATTTTCTTTCCTTCGGTAGCACCTGTGAGCAGGAATCACTTATTGCCTGTAAGTATGAACAAATTTAAGTCTTATTTGACAGTTTTCTGAATGACAAGCAAGTCTTTAAAATCCAGTCTATTTTGTTTCAGCCCTGTCCGATACTGAGTTCAAGGACGGAAAGGATGCTGCTGTTTCTCAGACTGCTAAGGATTCTCATGGCAGCAATTTTTGTTTTCCTTGGTTCTCGTACAGAACAAATGACGAGTCCCGGCTGGAAACACCTGTGCAGCTATCTTTTTTCCCTGGATATTACGAAGATTACCACTGGCCAGTTCGATTCAATCGAGTAGAGGAGTCTGAGTCACTTGTTTTCAACTACCCTCCTCGAAAACGTGTTGCTATTGGACAAGGTCATCAAGCAATTATTCCTGCATGGAGATCCAAAAGCTTCCCTGATTCCTGTAGAGATGGTCCTGGTGCTTCTACATCAGCTGGGCACATTCTTACTGATGATGATCTTGGTGATAAATGGACTGGACACTGTGTTATGCCAATGCCCGAATCAACTTCACTGAGTTTGGTTGTTTCACTTGGACACAGCAAATTTGACTGTTGCTGTTTGGATGAGGGCTCAATTAGATGTGTGAGACAACATGTTATGGAAGCGAGAGAAGAGCTTAGGAGTATACTGGGGCATGAGCGATTTGTAGATCTGGGCTTATGTGACATGGGAGAAGATGCAACTTTGGGATGGACCGAAGAGGAGGAACAGCTGTTCCGTGACGTTGTAGCGTCCAATCCGGCATCATTAGGCAAGAACTTCTGGGATGATCTTCCTCGAGTTTTCCCCTCCAAAAGCAGCAAAGAGCTTGTTAGCTACTACTTCAACGTCTTCATGCTTCGGAAGAGAGCTGAACAAAACAGATCTGATCCATTAAATGTGGATAGCGATAATGATGAGTGGCAAGAGAGTGACAATTGTGAGTTTGGATTTACACGGAAAGACGAGGAAGATGATTCAGCAGTTGAGTCTCCAGCAGATGTTGCTGCAGAGGATAATGGGGTTGTTGGAGATGGCTTGGAAGATATCCATGAGGATGCAGAAGAAGATTATTGTGAACATGAAGACTATGGAATTTCTGCTGGAGGGGTCGGTGATGATAAGTCGATATTTAGTTCTAGGAAGCAACATAAGGGGTTGCATACACATGATTCTATTGGGGAGGATCAAGAAGTGCATGATGACTCTTGCACATCCTATGAGGGTCAACACAACAGTAATGACTCTTCTGGTGGTCGTGGAGATGTTTTGGAGGGTGACCATGGGAACCTCCATCCTGAATACAGGAACGAAGGCGTGAGTGGTATGACAGATCATGATCTCGTTGTTGGTCATTATGATTCGAAGCCATGGGAGATTGGCTACTTCCATGGATTTGACAAGGGCCTTGACTTCTTGCCAACATGTAATGTGATTGAGGAGGTATGTGGCCATGAATCCTGGGAGAAGAGCAGGGAAGGCAATGGTGTCAGCTAGATTGTGCTGTGTTATTGGATTATTAACATATCTGAGTCTAGACTATATTGGGCACCAGTTGACGGTACTGCTTCTGGAACGTAACTCATCTTTAACTTTGTACATTCATGGTAGGAGGCTGGTAGTTTCTGGTGGCATTGTAAACTAGTTTTTGGTGGAAGATCCTCTTATGGACTGAAACCGTACCGAGATGTATCATCTTTTTACATTTTCTTAGCCCCCCCAACACCCTCCCCCCCTCCCCACCCCACCAAAAAAAAAAAAAAAAAAACTCGGGCCGTTTTTCGCCTTGGGACAGGGGGATACAGTGTTAAGAACCTTATATGATTCAAGTGTCGGTCTTTCATATATGTATTTTTCTATTATATTTTGTCATCATATGTAGAAATCATCCCGTGTAATATTAATCAATTTTGTTTCGGTTGTTTTCGTCATAAATGTTAAACTGAGTAGCCCTCTGAATTCTTTTGGATCTTCTTTCACTCTTATCCTTTTTTATTTATCGGCAGTGTTGACTCTAGTACTCAGTGATGTTTTTATTGGATGAGCATTTGAGTTGTGATTAGGGGGTACAAAATGGTCCGGGTGTATCTGATCCGTAGCTGTATACAGTGATGCGGACATGATAGCCAAATTTAAAACCGGCTGGATACCAATACGGTTCAGGATATGGTTTTAAAATTTTGGTCGGATGAGGTTATTGGTTTGAATTTCAGATACGACCTGGATATTTGAATTCAGATATGGTGCGGACATGGTAGCCAAATTTAAAACCGGTTGGATACCAATACGGTTCAGGATATGGTTTCAGATTTTTGGTCGGATTAGGTTATCAGTTTGAATTTCGGATACATTCTGAACATTTGAATTCAGATATGGATTTGGATGTGGATTCATATATGGATCCAGTTATGGAAATTTGAATTCATATTTTCGAAATTTTTAATTATTTTGATAACAATTGCATGTACTGGGATGTTCTCATATGTCTTTAGTTTCTTGGATCGTATTTTTATTGAGGTAATTAATTTATATTATACTTATTTATAATTAAATTTATGTTATACTATAATTTGATTCATTTTTTCTATCAATTAGTATCATAAAATTTGAGGTCTAGAAGAAAAATTGGTAGTACCTTGTGTTTGGATTCTTCTTCTATTTTTTTAATAAACTATATGTAATTCTTGGTTTTGTGAGTTTGTTAGGTTAGTCTGGTTGAAATTTTGTACTGTCTGAAACAACTATTAACTTTAACTTTCCAATTAACATGATATTTTTTTGTCATATTCAATTCGTATCTGTTGATGGTTTAATTCACAAAGTTAAAAGAGAAGGTCGATAGGGATTGGGTTGATATGGGGGCCGTTCGCTTTTTCGAATATCTGATTTGGAGTTGGTTGTTCGTCCCTGCACGCGTAACAACTCGTAAGAGAACGGAGACTGGTTCCCCTGTTGTTCATCTGACGATCAAGTTAGGTATGTGCTTGAGTGAGAGTGTGAGAAAAAAAATACAGCGGAATTGAGAAAGATGCTGAAAAATTGTTTACCCTTATATTTTGAATAGTTTTTTTTTTATAGCCAAGCAAGATGGGTAGTCTAGTCTTTTTGGCCGAGCCTTAGCTAGCGGCTGAGTCAATATCTACTTTATAGGTTTCGGTTGTGGATCGACTACGGGATGGGCACTGTCATTTCGCCATTAATGAGATGCGATGGGCGGTGCACGAAGCCGGCGTGGTTCAATGTGCCAAAAATACGGGGATGGAGAAATGATGGTGCCTGCAAGCATTGAATGTGATGCCGACGCGATGTTAGCGGGGGAGGTTCTATGTTGAAGTCGTCCTTTGGCTTGTAACGAGGGGTATCAAGAAGTAACGCCTTTTAAGTCGACCCTACGAGTTGTCGAATAACTGGCCGAGTGCCTCGTAGCGAGTCGTCTTCAACAAGAGGACTGACAAGTACCTCCATTCGAGTCGACCTAAGGAGATGTCGAGTTGTCGAGTCGGCGAGTCGGCTAAGTCAGGATTCTTGGTGGTCCTAACCGTAAATTCGATTTGAGCAGTGCATGTAGGGGATACATGTCAGTTGTTGGCAAAATGTTATGCTTTGGTGACTGAAAACACAATAACAGTTTGCCCCTTTCGCTTAGAGTCGGCTTGGGTCGGGTCCAAGTGAAACGAGAGCAGCTCTGGATGGACGTGGGTGTGCATTAAATGAGGCAATTGAAAAGTCTTTTCAGATTTCACATGACTGACTTCACCACATATTTCTTTTGGCTGCCACAGCTCCGCTTTTCGTGCCGGATTATGGGTTATTCGAGGTTAGTAGGCTGCGCCTCGACCCCTAAGATGCCGCTTCGAATTCTGAGAATTAATCTTGGCCATTGGCCAAAGCTTGATCCGACCGTTCAGATTCCGGCAGCTGCGGATTCGGCTACCTATATATAAAGCTAGGGCCAGTGAAATGACAATTATTATTTTTTGAAATTTCCTTCTAAGAACTCGAGATCCTTCCCGCCCATCTTTTTCCGTCGATTAGTTCTCCCTTCTATGATGGTATCAGATCCCGTAGATCGACAAGCTCTTCTAGCGAAGTTCCATTCCAAGGTGACCCATGCATAGATGAGGATGCTCCACGGGAGGTTTGATATCCCCCGAGTATGAGTTGATGGCCCCAACGAGGTCAAGAGGCAGTCTATGATCATGGACCGGATCATGCTCCACTTTACTTAAGGCACTTGGAGTTTGACCTGCAGCTGCCCTTGCACCCTTTTCTTCAATAAGTTTTCATGGCTCTAGGGGTATCGCCAGCCTAGATGAAGTGGAACGCCATCGCAATCTTGATGGGGTTTGTCGTGATTTTCCATTGGTTGGTAATAAAGCCACCTCTGCGAGTCTTGGACTATATGGTAAGTGTTAAAGTGAAACAGAGTGAGCCCCATTTTCATTTCCAGATAGTGGGGAGGCATAAGCTCATCACCGGCTTTCCTGACTCGAACAAGGATTGGAAGGAGAAGTTCGTCTGGGTTGTGAGGGATGACTTGAGTAGTGAGGGACGACTTTGATCTGGGCCGCTCGAACTAGCCCGAGATAAGGAGGGAAACGCTAATGGCCGGTGACCTTCTTGACGCCGAGAGGGATGTGCTGGATCAAATCAAGGCATACGCTGGCTCTCACCGAGTCGAGCACCTGCTTGACAACTCAGTCTTGCGGGTTGCAAATATATCTGTCGTGCCTCCCTCCGCCAAGGACTAGGAGAGAGCTTCAACCCTAATCTTAGGAACGGCGGAAGTGGCAATGGAGCCATCCGCTCCTCTGACCGACCCCTAGGAAAGGCCATCAGCAAGACCTGAAAAGCATCTCCGCCATGACTTCCCCCAATGGATACCGAGACGACCGAGGCAGATCCCTTTGCCACCCTCGTCCATAGGCGAAGTAGGAGGCCGCGGAGGGATGAGGAGCAAGTACCTCGGGTGACGGCCGAGGTGGTCGAGACCGACGTCGTCTATGTGGACGAGTCAGCCCCGAAAGAGCAGGCTGAGGCTCCCCGGGAAGAGGTTGGAGCCGAGGCAAGAGCCTTCGCTGACGAAGGAGGGTTATTCGTCTGCTGTAGCGAGTCATCCCGCTAGGGGAAAGAACCGGTTGGGGGAGAAAATGGCACCTCCGGCAGGGTTAGAGTATCCCTATTCTCATCCCGTTGTTGAGAATGGGACAAGATGAGGCAGTACCTCATTGGATCTTTGGGGGTCGGCCCTTGATTTGGAGAGGAGCCTGACCCAGAGTACTGCTACCAGTCTGCTCACCATTTTGATATCAGAGGGGTCTGTCCTTGGTTCTCACCTGACTCAGCCAAGGGCGGTTGAGTAGTTCTGGCTTCCTCGGGACGAGGAGTTCTTGAGGGGGGTTCCTAATGCCGGTCTTTACCAAAGCCTTCAGAGCTACCTAGTTCAAGGAGCGTTAGTGGATCAAGAGATATTCAGCCAGATGAAGCAGATCCGGACTCCGTATCTCAAGCTCTTATAAGAGGTAGATTCCCTGAGGGTTGGCAGAGGGGGCGACTCGGAGCGGGCTGCGAGCCACCAGCATCAATAGCTTCCGAGGTCGACAGGCTCAGGAGAGATCATGAAGAGATCAGTAAAGCTAGGAGACTGGATGAGACTCTCTAGGAGAGAGACCACGCTAAGGTGCAGGTCGAGGCCGAAAAGTAGGCGGTGGTGCATGCGAAGCGTTAGCTAGACGAGAACATGCAACACTCATCAAACTTCAAGGGGAGGTCGCCCGCCTACAGGAGTCCCTGGCAGTAGCCTAAAGCCGCAGCGCTTACATCGAGTCTGAACCTTATCGCTAGGGGATCATAGAGGAGTATCGCCAGAGCCTTACTAGAAAAACAAAGGTGACGATAGCCTGCAAGGATGGGTACGACTGCCTCACGACACAGCTTCCGGCTAAGATGAGGAACCCACCCGGTCACTTCCACTATCCTCCCATCGTAGCCAAGTGTTTGGATGAGTTGGTGGAGGTGGAAGCACTTGGGGGGGGGGGGGGACTCCTCCACCGACTGCTACCAGCGGCTCCTTGCCTTTGACCTCAGGAGCGGGAATGGACCTTTCTTAGTCTCCTAGGAATTTCCTATCTTTTGCTTTTGCGTTGTATATATGTGTATATGTACTTTGTAGATACTCCCTATAAATAAATAAAAAGATATTTTAAGCCATATTTACTTTCTTTGTGCTGTGCAATCTTATGTTGGGTCTCCTGGGTGAATTAACTCTGCAATGGGTTTGTGGATTCGACTACTGACCCGAGGGGGCTCATTTTTTGTTGAGAAGATACATCTCAAACTTGTGCCATTGTCATTTTTGTGCGTGTTGTTGTTTTTTTTGTTTTTTTGTTGGAAGACAATCGAGTCGACGACCCTTGCTATTCAGCATTTGAACTCCTTGGAGCGAGTGCCTGAGAGGCACGAACTCAGGCACGAATCAGCCTTTACGGAGGGTGGGCTATCTTAGTGGAGAGCAAAGTGTTGTTTCTTTTAAGTACATCTGTTGTTGATCTGTAGGGTTGGCTAGGTATGGTCGACTGTTTATCGAATAGACGTCATTTGATGAGTTTCTAGATGCCTTTACTGAGCAGGTGAAATGTCACTATTTAAAATGACGTGATGGCGTTATCAGAAGCCAAAGACTTATTGTCGCTTCGATTTTCGAGCGAAGAGGC